TTTCACCAGCATTTTGCACATCCGCACTCAAAATCGAAATTTCATAGCTTTCTATTTCTTGACCACATTTCAGGAGCAAATAAACGAATTCTTCTGAAAACATAGCAACTGTATTAGATGAAGATTGTTTACCTACTGCGTGCTCATCTAGATTTTTGGAGATAACTGGACTGAGAAATTGACGCCTCGAAATAGATACTTACTGTTGACATTCTATGGGTCAGAAATTTCTCATAATTGAGGCAATCGCCAAAGCTTTGCCCAGTTCTGTAAGCTTGAGATAAGAACACCTTAACTACAATATCTGAAGAGAAACTTGACTATTCAGTGCAAGAAGAATTCCACATTTTCATAATTTGGCACTCACGAGCCTACAAGAAATAGGCTCAAAAAAGTGAACATTTTTGAATTTTTATCTTTTCTTTTCGCACAACTCCTTCTTTGGAGTCTTTTCTATACATACGTAAACACGTGACCTGCGGCTACAAAATAAGTTGATTGGCAGCCATGCGAACAGAACTTGAAGGGAGTTGTAAGCTCTCAAAGAAGAGGTTTTCAAAAGAAAAACTTCCACTTTGTTGACGCATGGTTTTCTTCCCGTTTGCGATATCAGTACGAGCAGGTGCGCGCTAAATTACGAAAGGTTTGCTGTTCCTGATGGTCTTAACTGCATTTAAAATTATGGAGACTGAACGAAGTTATAGCCTTCCAAAGTGAAAATTTGCAAAACGGACATTAATTTCCGGACAACCTAATATCACAACCGGAATGCAAAATGATCGGCATGCAATAGTCTGTTTGTTCTATTGGGAGAATCGCGACGATGAAATCGCGTAAACTCTGCCAGCCTCTTGCAGCATTGTCAACAGCGATCAACAGAGGAGCCTTACAAAGTACTCCGACACTGGGAGCGGACGAGCCGCAGCCCTTTTCAGGCTGGAATTTCGCAGCTCCCGCGTCCCGGTCGGAGAGTGGGCCTCGTCTCAGCCGGCGATGAGCCTCAACTCGGCCGCAGGTGGTCCTCGGCTCAGTGCAGCTGGTTGCCGGGCCGTCCGTAGTTCATTTTAGCTTTGCTCAATTGGACCTTGGCGCAACATGGCACATAGGAAAATACACGGTAAAAAACAAAAACTGAAGCCACCGAAATAGCAGCTTCTGAAACCAAGTCCGACTTCAAAATTGGATAACGCCAAATACTATCCAAGGCTGTTTGCAGAACAAGACACATATTAATCTTGTTCTTGCCTGAAAGACTGGAAACGCATCCAATGCAATCTGAAAGGGCAGTCTGACCATGCGTCGTACATCACCCAAGTATCCTTCACGCTAAGATACTATGAGCGGCCGAGCCGCGGCCTTCATTTGACATAGGCCACAACTCGGCCGGATTTCTTGCACGGATTTTGGTTCGCGGCTCAGCCGCTGCAATGCTCCGCCCCATCATTAAGGGCCGCGACTGAGCCGGTGAGTCCATTTTCTCCCGCGGCTCGGCCGGCGCAATGATCGTGACATGAACGAAGGGCAGCGGGTCGGCCGCAAACGGCCACGCCTCCAAATTAAGGCCGCGGGCGACCTGGAAAGTCTTTTGCGGCTCGTCCGCTCCCAGTGTCTGAGTAGACAGGAGCGACAAGTGTGCCCAGTGTTGATTATGGTTTCGAACCTTTGCATGGTAACATCGAATTCTACGCAAAACGCCGACTATCAGAGTGCAAATGCCATTAGCTGTTTGCCTAGTATCATCAGTAATATGTTGCAGAGTTACTGGTCATTACTGATGCCCTCAAATATCACCATGGTAGTTTTACTTGCATGCTAAGCTCAAAGGCAATGAATGTATCAGATCTAACCTGATTAAAAGCTAATGAACAGCACTCGTAATCAGAAGTGCGATAGTCGGAGCCGACTCTCCGCCTACCTTCACTTTTGGGCTGGTAAGGGGTAACCAACCACTTTGGGTTTGAAAAAAATTTTTGCTGAAGCTTAAAAGAAGCGGAATAAGCAAAAGGAACGCAAAAGAAAGTATTGAGAGCATATACCTATGTAGTAGGTTGATCTAGGCAGTAACCGCCGAGAACCAGAATTTCAAATGATAAAATGGCGAAAAATTATGCGAAATTTTATTGTTATAAATCTGGTGATTGAAGATGTCAGCGATTGCGACTTTTAGGCTGCTTAGTGACATCTGCCATTTGAACTCCTTTCATTCTTGAATGTGAAGGTGTGCAATGTTGAGACTTCATAGGTTTTGTAGAGCGAGGTTTGTCGTACTAGATTATGTCTCAGCCGCGCCGATCCAAGCTCTTGAAAAAGCAGATAAAAAAGCGCTTTCTGGAGTTTAACAGCTCATATCTAATTCAGAATTGCTTGAATCATGTTGGGACTTCATAAGTTGGATTCTCCTCTTCAAGAGCTTTCAGAAGATGTATAATATGTGGGAGGTTCAATGATTTGCGGTTCTAACCCAGGGTGGAGACTTTTCACCCAAAGTCTCCACAGGCGGTCTCCAGCCAATACATTAACATGGGCGAGGAGGAGACTTTTGGGTAAAAAGTCTCCACCCTGGGTTAGAGCCGCAAAAATCATTGAACTCCCCACATATTATACATCATCTGAAAGCTCTTGAAGAGGAGAATCCAACTTATGAAGTCGCAACACGATTCAACCAATTCTGAATTAGTTATGAGCTGTTAAACTCCAAAAAGCGGTTTTTGACCTGTTTTTTTCAAAAGCCTGGATCTCGGCGCTGTTTCAATGTATCGGTACGGCTAAGAGATATTCTGATAAGGAAAACCTTACTCTACAAAACCTATGAAGTCGCAACATTGCATACCTTCACATTCCAGATTTATAGTAGTCTAGATGTCAGCTGTCATTAAGAGACCTAAAATCGCTCAATTTTTATAATTCTCGTTCTCGCGACCACTGCTCAAATCGAGCCGTTCCCTTCACTATCTGGTAGGACAACACAAAGCCTTCAAAAATGGAGTCGCAATTGCTGACATCCTTCAACCATCAGATTAATAACAGTGGAAATTTCGCATGATTTTACGTTATTTTACTATTCGAGATTCTGCTTCTCGGTGGCTACTGCCTGGATCGACCTACTTTATTCGCAGTACGTCATAACAAAATTAGCTTGATAAAGTACGTAAAGTCTAGCTGAGTTTTACTTACAAATACACTATTTGATAAGCACTTTGTTTTAGAAACTTATGCCGCTGTATACATTTAAAAAATGCTTCCAATAATCTCTTTTGCATTTGTTTTGCTTATTTTCCGCGCACCGGCGGCAACTACCTGGAGGATAGGCTCAATCGACGTTAACGCTCCCCCACCCCCCGTTTTTGGGAGGTGAGTGTCCGGCACTACCACCTTCACTTTGGCCGGCCAGTGGTAGCTGGAACCACCTTCACTTTTGCGGGGCCCGGCTCCACCATCGCACCTCTGCTCGTAATGCAATGTAAACCTTGTAGTTTGATAACTAAAGAAATTTTTTAACTTCTGTGATATGCAGTTATCAGTACACTATTTTTTGAATGAGCGTTTCATTAAAGTTCCCCATATTATGGCGTTTTCAACAGGAGATAATAAGCTCAGATTCTATTTTCTATGGTTCTACCTAGACGTCAAGAAAATTACATAGTACCTATTCGATAATGGCTCCATCTTCTTATGGAAGGCAAGTCAGTGTATGTGAAAATGACTGATGAGACGTTGCCACCACGAGCGTTATCGACACAGGCATCTTTCTCATTTGATGGTAACACGGCTGTAAGAGCTAACGCACATGCCATCTTTTGAAAATTTTGTATACATATGCATTATAACGCCATCAGGCATTCTGTTCGCATGTATCATGCTTTGACGTTGTTTCCTTAGAGCAACATCAAGTGTAATATGATCGAACATTTATCCCATTTTCTGATATTGATTCACCGGAGCATCTGCTCAGATGTTTTGCTTCTATGAGCCTTCACGTAAATCTGACTCCACGGATGAAGTGCAAAATGTGTGAGGGCCAGCAAAAACCAAAATTCTATCTTCGTCATAATGACAAGCGTAAATGGGTGCTCTGGGGGTACTTTTTAGCACAGATTCAAAGCACTAAAACCTGCCTGCTAGAAGATTCTAAACTTGTCCGTATGCAAAATGGTGCCAGAGAGCAGATTGCAGACCAAGTTTGACTCATCAAAGGCAGCGATTCTGAGTCGAACTTGCATTATTTTGGTTGATGAGAGACCTAGATTTTGCAGCTTATTTGATGTAACAACTCCGCCCCGTTGCTACCATCGATTCCTTCTAATTTGTACTGCTTCAACGATCATTCATGGAATGAGAATCCCTGTGATACCTTGTTGCCCATTACTTCCCAACTTCTCTTCTTCATGTACCAAAGCTAGAAGGCCACTTTAAATTTACTCCTTATCGTTAAGCTACTTCCCTTTATATGTGATAGGAATGGTAACCAATGTTAAGATACTCGACCAAATGGATTTTTTCTGAAATTATTCGTGTCGCGCATGCGGAGCTGATCCTTAAATAAAGCGCAATCTCTTGCCATTGCATAAACGTCCGCAAAAAGGGGATTTTCCTTTATAAGGATAGTTTTCACTTGAAGCGAACCACATGTAAACGATATGTTTTAGAAACGCAAAATCCCCTAAGAACGTTGAAAAAAAGCCGTGGGGACGTCGTTCAAGTGTATCCAAGATGTAGTATTTTTCTAAGCATATTTGACTATAGCAATTTGGGGCATCCCCTAGGATTACGCTGTCATCATTGGGAGCATTATTTACCATTGTATTTTATTTTTTCAGTCCTTCAGTCACTTGAACCTGAATGAATAGCACCACGATGAAGAAATTGTAGATTTCGAAACTCAGCATTTGTTACTGGAGTAGGTTAGCAGCTCAATTCGCACTACTCTTTGCCACCTACACCATCATAATCTTTCGCCGCTCTAAAAATAAAGTATACACTAGCAAAGAAAATTTGTCAAAGGTGTTATGAAATACGCTGCCATATACTTACTGTGCTTTGTTACCTTAACATCTTCGGTCAGTGAGTATCCGAAGCTTATGATAATATCATTCGACGGTTTTCGATACGACCAGTTGGATGCAAAGTTAGTGAGTGAAAGGCACAACTAGATTGTTCTCTCTGCTTGTATTTTATTTTCGAGGTGCCAAACATAACAAAATGGGCCTCTTTGGGCGCTCAATTTACCAATGGAGTTGCTTCGCAGTATCCATCTTTTACTGCTGTAAACCATATGGCCATTGCTACAGGTACACCCGGATCAACAATAAACCTTTGCAAGAAGAGCAATCTTCTCTCAGTTTAGGCCTCTTTACTGAAAGTCATGGCATCGTCTCAAATGTTTTCTTTGATAAAACTTCGGCGAAGGTGTAAGGGAGTTCGCGGGATGTACAAAAATAAAAACTTCTCTTATTGATTTAGATTTGATTACTGGAATGACACCAAAACACCAGGTGTTCTCGAAGCATCAATAGATACGTCGTGGTTCAAAGGAGAGCCAATATGGGTGACAAACGAAAGGTAAGCCAACATCAGTTCATTGCTTGCCGAGAAAAATTTTTGACAGTTAGCTTTCTGGGGTTTCAGGTTCTCGAGACTGGACATACCAGCTCAAAAGAAATTTCAAAACTTCCAATGATACGTACCAGAAACCCAGCCTATTTTCCAGATATAAGTCATCAAATTCAACTTTTGCTAAGGTCGTAGTGCAAAGGAACTCAAAAAGTCCAAGTCCTCTCCGTAAACAAATAGCAAAAAATCCATCATACTTCGTCGTGACATGTAACTAAACGACAAACCTGAATGATACATCAAAAAGTGAACGATGAGCTGCAACCATGGTATCGATCACCAAACAAGTTTTAGTGTTGCAGATAAGGCGGTGAATTTCGTTAGGTTGATGCAAAAATAATGTTTCCTAAGACTTTTTTCAGGACAACTTTTCTCCATCAAACTTCTTTCTTTGTAATGGTCTCCGCACATTATTAGAAAGCTCTTTTTATGCCCTATCTAATGTTGTTCGAAATGGACTTTTAGCCCTTTCTGTTAAGAATTTATAAAGCTTCAAATAATCGCACTCAAAACCAGCTTTTCGTTGCATTCATTTTTCTGGCCAGAATTTGAGCGCGAATGAAGATGGTTTATCGAAAATTTAGCCGCTATTATGTTGTAAATTGTCTACATTATGCATATTTAACCATATTTTTTGAAGTTATCTGAAGTGAGATATCGGCGGCTTAACATGGGTAATGGTTATTGTCATTTTAGAGCCCATAACTTTCTTTTGTAGAATGCAGTCGCTCAAACTTTGCTCATCTCTGTAAGCGTGAGGGTAGGAGTCCTATTAGCAGTTTTTGCAAAAACATCCAGGTGTTCAGTACGCAGGAAATTAGAAAATTCTATACTTCGGGGTTTTGAGGTTTACTGAAAAAATGCTAAAAAAAAAAGTTGATATTTTTGAATTTCGATTTTTCCCTCTTCGCTAATCTTTTTTCTCCAAACCGTTTTCATGTATATTTGTACTACTGGCTTGTGGCTTCAAGACAGGCTGTTTGTAAATGGTAACAACAAAGTATGAAAGGAGTTATGTTTTTCAAAAACAAGACTTCAAAAAAAATTTTTTTATTTTTCAATCAATATTTTTCTGCCCATATGAGATATGAGTATAGGTCAATGTGCGCTGTACTGCGAAAGGTTCGCTGCATCTAGGGTCTTTATCACATTTCAAAATGTAGATTTTGTAGAAAGTCATAGCAAGTTAAAGCGAAAAATTGAAAAACGCTCATTATTTTTGCATCAACCTAATATCAGTACATTGGTGAACGAAGGTTAAAGCAATGCATACCTTTTTCACATTTATGGGAAAATTGCGCCGTCAGGTTGTATTATATGAGCACTCAAAGGATATTGGTTCATTATTACCGAAAGACTGTTACTAGCTTTCAAAGAAAGGTGCAGATGATTCCCAGACTTGTTATTAAAACTGACTGTACGAAGAAAAAATTACTACTCAAAAATTACTTAATACTATGTATTAGGATTACAACGTATATGCAAGAACTAAGGGTTAGCAAAATAGAAGGCATCAAGAATGTAAGAATTAAGGATAGAGTCTCACAGAAATTCGTTCTCCATGTTTTTGTCAATCTGCCTTTCCGTGGCCCTGATTACAGCTATGAAGCTGAAATGTGCGAACCTCCCCCCTCCCAAAAAAACCCGATTTCTGGGAGCCCTATCCGAAGATCCAGACGACTTTCACTACCCGAGTGGGTGCATCTTGATAGAATTCGGGCGTGGCTTAGTAGCACTTTCGCGGTTCTCCATTGTCTCCATTTAGAGTGTGGTTAAAAAACCACTCCCAGTGCACTTATCCAAATTTCAGAAGTGGTGATGGAAGACGGTCCGCGTGCCTAAATTGGCCATTTTGCGAAACGGCATTCCCTACAAAACCGGCACGAGCTTCCATATACAGGTACAAACAAAGTTCGTTGACATTGCAGAGAGCGGAATATGACCCCAAAGGAAAAATTCATAGCTATGGATTGGAACGCGCATAGTGCTACAACTCTGATTTTTGAAATGGAGTATTTGCCTACATGGCCTTTGTTGTTGCGATGCTTTGTTTTGTAAGACATAGAAAATAGATTTCGCTGAGTTTAGACCCGTAAGTGATGTCATATATAACGCACATTATGTGCATAAAATTTTAAAGATATAACTTTCACCATTCTCGCCAAAATCACGTTTGCAAAGCTTCACACATTTCAATAGCAAAAAGACGTAAAAACTTTCGTAATCAAATTAAGGAGCTTCCGTCCATCAAATCATATACCAATTTAGGCTTCGGGCAGAGTTCAGCGATTTGATCGTCGCGATCTAATCGCCGCGATTTCCACTCACTTTCATTTTAGGGTAAGGGCACATACCTCACGCGATTTCAGTCGCCACGCGATCTGGCAATTTGCCAGATATCTTCAAATTCAATACGGGCAGACCCCAAATGCACAGCATATTTAGTTTTGGTGGGTTGATAAAATGCCCTATATTTGGTAAATTCAGAAACCCTCTACGATGAGTTATGCACAATTGGAGTATTGCCAAATCGCTTCGCGGAAAATTTCGAGCTGGAAAAGTATCACAACCGAAATGCAAGCTGGTCGGCATGCAATGAACTCGTAACAGTTATCTTGTCGCGATTGAATCGCGCCGATCAAATCGCGTGAACTCTGCCCGGGGTCTTATGCTATCAAATTCATTGGTAAAACCTAACCTTCAGTACTACACCGCATAAGCATCTCACCTACTCAGTTGTTGAGCAACTTTACGAGCCTATAGTAAGGAGTTAACCCCAAAACTCAAATACTCTGACTTGTAAAAGACAACCACCACAAGTGGATAGTTTTTTACTGATTTTTTTGGTGAGGATTTGACATTTCCTTTCAATCCAACTATAATCTCCAAAAAACCGGACTCAATTTGTAATTACAGAGCTTGGACGCATTTTCGCCCATTGGAGGAGTGGAGGACTGATGTTGATGAAATAATTGAGCTGTTCACCAACACTCATTCGCCTGTCAACTTCGTAGCTTGGTGGGCTTCAAGGTAGCTCGACTTTTGCACATCCTACTTTTAGGTATATTGGCGAACCTGACCATGTTTTACATACACACGGCTTCTACGATGGCGAGTATGAAGCAGTGATGCGAAAGCTAGACAGCCTTTTTGGGTACCTTATAGAAAAGATGAAAGAGAGTGGTCTCGACGACAAAGTGAATATCATTTTCACGGCAGATCATGGACACACTCAGGTACAGAAAGCAGTTCAAAATGCATGTGTATCTCACGTTAAAGATGAGTCGAAGCTGCATTTCTCTCATTTGCTTTTGCTTTCTAGCTGAAAATCTACGAAATTTTGACAATGTTCGTTCCCTCAGTTGCCATCAGTAAACTTGAAGTAGTAAGTAGTTCAAATATGAGGACCATATAACTAGATTAGCGAAAAGTTTGGCACAGGTTACCGTAACAAGGAACACCAGAAAAATCGAGTGAATCACTGTTCGACAGTGGCGTAACCAGGATTTCGGTTCGGGGAGGGGGGAGGGGGGCGAGAAGGGCAGCGAAGAACTTTTTTTTTGATGAAGGTGCACCACGCATTCCGAAAAATTTCTTGGCATGCTTTCTAAAATTTTCGCGGGCCTAGAACCCAGAAATTTCAGAAAAGGGGAATGGCGTCAGCTAAGAAGAATTTCTTTATGAGGCTAAAAAAATTTTTAAAAAATTCTAAAAATTAAATTAGTTACAAATGCAAACAAGTCACTTGACATTTTGATAACTCAGTAAGTAACTTTCAAAAATTTCGCGACCCATTCTCGGGGGGGGGGGGGGCGGGGGGTGAGAGGGGCGCCCCTCGGAACGCCACTGCTGTTCGATAGAGCTGTGCAAGATGACTCCTATATATCCACACACATGGTAGATCACAGAAAATGTTTATAAGAGCGTCAGCACGTGTCTACTGCTGCAAGTGGTGCGATAGAACTTTCGCAAATAGCTAAAATAATGCTCATGAATTTCAAATAATCCAACCTAGGATTACCCATGCCGTGTGGCTTCAATGCTACTGTAGCCCGCTGTCACGAATATGATGACGCAGTTTTGCTATCGCCGGTTATCAAGAGTCTGCGCAGCAGCAATCAACAATGGTTAAAGCGAAAAACGGGAAAAGTTGAAATTTCGCACGCTGAAATCTACGTACTTCCTTTATTGTTATTTCAGGACACCACATGAATAGCTGAGAATAATAATAACTGAAGTTCAAATGATAACTATCTGGAGCTTCAGGATACGAAGCTTACAGATGGACAGACACCGAATAATCTAGATGTGCATAGATTCAGCATATAAAACTTCCTTTTCAACTTCGTTCTCCTTAGCAGCGGGAATATCAATGCATGCGAAGGGTAACGCTCAATCCCTAGACATCTGGACTTCTCACTGTCAGTTCATGTGTTGGTACTACCATTCACTAAAAATATCTGAACAAGAGCGAGAGGCTGTACAAGTTGCATTTTCCAGCTTTTTGGATCCTCCGATGCCCAACTGCCATTCTCCGTAGTCATTTTTCTTTTTTTTTTCTTTTTGATGCAATGAAGATATTCCAAAGTTGTATAGAATAACAATGGAACTTTGTAGCGCTTTCATTGCATTCTAAGGCAGGCGCTATACTCCTCGAGGAGTATAGCATGGCGACGATCGATATGCATTGAATACGTGTAAAATTGGCGATTTTTGTCGCCGATATTGGCGATCGCCAGTCGTAGCGACTGGCGATCGCCCGTCGCCATGCTATACTCCTCGGGGAGTATAGCGCCTGCCTAAGAAAGAAAAATGATTTGGTTAGAGGACGGTCGGTTGTCTGGAATCATCGAGATCATACGAAAAGCTAAAAAATGCGGAAAATGCGGCCTGTACTCTTCTCGCTTTAGACAGCACTGCAGATATAGATAAAATGCAGATATCTGGAGCCTTAGCATAAGAAGCTTCCTTCTGCATGCGGGTCTAACGCCCTCGTGTACATCCGCTTTGGGGAGGAAAGGGGATCTGTAAAAAAAGTTTCATATCTTGCTACTCCAAATATTAGGTTGTCCCGAAAGTTTTGTCCGTTTTTTCAAAACACTATAAAACCAAATAAAGACCTGAATGAGTTTCAACATGCATTCGATGCAGCTTTTCTTTCACTTTCTTACGGATACATATTCGAACCATAATCTTGTATGCTTTTTTTGATAATTGCCAAAATTCTTCACCCGTCAATTTTATCTGCTCAAAGTTCGGCCAAGTTTCACAAATTTCATTTCAAACTTTCGGAAAAGGTTAAATACGCATCAAATAGAGCAATTCTCGGACTACAAGATGATATTCTTAGATTCTTCTAATCTGCTGTGTTTAGCTTCAAAAGATTATTTTTTTTCGGAGGTCTCGATTTTTGCCCAAGTCATGAAACACGCAATTGCAGCAAATAACGAAAGCTTCTGAAATTCCTGTAAATTGAAACACGATTTTTATCAAACATTATTTATGCAACATGACCAAATTTGATTTGCTCTGAGAAAGCAGCTTTCTGGAATTTTCGATAATTTTAGGTAATAAATGTAATCAAAAAGCCGCGGTTTTTCTTAAGTAAATAATCATTACGAACTTGATAAAAGCGCTCCATGTAATCTAAAATAGGCAAAATGTAGTGAAAAGTTTGCTTTACATAATAGTTACCAGCGCTCCTTGAAAACGTTAGGATAAAATTTTTTGAAATTCAGGAAAGATTTGGCGTTACTGCTGAGCTGCTTGAAAAGCCATGTCGATAACATCGCCAATACAGGGTAGATTAGAGAGCAAATATAGCTTTAAGAAAGAGAATAAAAATCTGAATCGAAAGATACCTAGAACTTCCATAGATTGGTGTTCTGTGAGTTTTAGTGAGCGATGAAAAAAACGGACAAAAGTTTCGGGACAATCTAATATATGCGTTCATCTTTGTCTACCTATTGCATGAAGGTTCTCTGTCTTGATACTTGAGCGTAATGGATGACAAGGCATACCATATCAGCTGAGAATTTCATTGTTTTGTGTGATCCGCCGGAAGATTCCCAGAAAATTATTTCTCATTTTCGATCTCCATCATTTTCCTACGAACTTGATGGCGTTGTGAAGTTGTACTGAGGTTTATTATGATACTATTAAATATGTTTACAGTAGAGTCTCTGAGAACTCAAGATACTGAAACATTCGATAAACCGCTCGCAAGCTGATGTTCATCGCAAAACATCATATTCCATTTGTCCTGTCGAAAACAACATGCCTAGCAATGCCATAATTCTCAGTACAACTTTAACTCGTTTTCATCGAAATATTGCCAAGAGGATCCCTCAAGTGATCACAACAGTGAAAATCTCAGCTCGTAGGCAATATAATGACATTTATTATCCACCTTCATAAGACAAACGGACAAGAAGGATAAAGATGCCCGAAGCAGCGAGATAGGATGCCTCTCGTCTCAGACCCCCTCCCCTACCCAGCTGGATTGTACACGCGTAGAAAAACTTTGCGTTTATGAAAAATGTGCAAAACAAATGTGAAATGCAAAATGTAAAAAATGTGCACGTAAGAAAACTTTGAAAACGATTGCATCTCTGCCAAGAAGGTACAAAGGGCCGCAGGGCTAATTACAGTCTCAGATAGTGTGAATTCTTGATTCCAAAAGCTGTGTAACGATTTGCGACCAACTTAGGACTGTAAGTCGGGTTGTCCTGAAGCCTTTGAACCATGTATCACCACGATAGAACTTGAGCATAACATAGACTGAAAATTAAAAGTGCAAACTGTACAGCTAAATTCAGCGACTCAGTTTGACTCGAGAGACTTGTTGAGATTTTTAGCTTGCTCAAACTCTGATTTCAAGAGCTTTTGTCAGCGTCAAAATGCCATCCGTCTTAGTAGTATATATCTAACACCAATGACTAGAGACTATGACCTTTTGCATCGTGCACATAATTGTGATAGGGGGAGCAATGGATCTTACTCCGCTCACTTTTGAGCCATAACCCAGATGATCCCCGCCAACTGAGGCTGAATTGGAGATAATCCAAGAGTGAGTCATGATCGAAAAGTTCTGCAGACTCAATATTTCAGCCGTGAAACACAACAACCACATAATTTATTCGAAAAAGCAGTATTTTTATCGATCACAATAGGAATAACATAATCGTACTTTTTTCCGCACCTTTCCAAAGGCGTCTTCAATAGAAATTTTAGTATTAAAATGATCTTAATTCTATTAGGTTGGTCCGAAAGTTCTTGCGCATCATTTCCAAAAAATCATAACTTCCTTGCCACTCGCTGTATTTCGTCGATATTATATCTATTCAAAAGAGGAATCCATGTTCTTTACAGCTGTACTTTCGCTATGAATTACTTTGAGAAAATTCGAGAGTTACAAGCAGTTAAAGGAAATCAGTCAAAATTGGCATTTTTCGAGCTGGGTCACGAAAAATGCTAGAAGTATTCTTATATGATAGACAAAATTATGCTCATTACAACGGTATCTTTTTCATCAATTAAAACGAAGTAGATCGAGAGTTAGAAGCAAATAAAGAGAATTCCTTGAGTTTCGCAATTTTTGAACATGCTCAAAAAAGCCCAGAAACGTCACAGAAAATACAGGAAAGTCATTAACTGGGTATTGTGACATTCTCTTTCTAGCTGAGCAAGTTTCGAGCTGATCGAAAGCATTTTTGTTTTTCGTGATTTTTTTCGGATTTTCGGGCCTGCATTTTTCACGAAAATCAAAATTGCTCTCGAACAGCACGATTTCCGCTTAGCTAGAAAGAGAAGGCTAGAAACCCCATGTTCATGACTTTTCCGTATTTTCTGTGACGTTTCTGGGCTTTTTTGAGCATGCTCAAAAATTGCAAAAATGAAGAAATTCTCTTTATTTGCTTCTAACTTTCGATCTGCTTCGTTTTAATTGATGAAAAAGGTACCATTATAATGAGCATAATTTTCTCTATCATATGAAAATACTTCTAGAATTTTTCGTGACCCAGCTTGAAAAATGCCAATTTTGACTGATTTCCTTTAACTGCTTGTAACTCTCGAAGTTTCTCAAAGTAATTCATGGCGGAAGTACAGCTGTAAAGAACATGGATTCCTCTTTTGAATAGATATAATTTCGACGAAATACAGCGAGTGGCAAGGAAGTTATGATTTTTTGAAAATGATGCGCAAGAACTTTCGGACCAACCTAATATTAGGTTGT